TAGCCAGTAAGTTTCCATCGTACCTTTCCCCTGGAAAGACAAGAAAAAAGGAAATGGTAAAGTTCAACAACTTCAATATTACAATAGGGCTCTAGATCTGTACGACGTGGACGACATAACAAGCTGGAGAACAATCTGTCCCAGGTGCGACACAGCGAGGTCTCTTCTGTGCCCGCTGTCGCGTTGTTTCTAGCAATTTGAACTTTTTGTTTTGTTTCCTTTTGATTCTTCTTGTTTATATATGAGTAGCTCAAGTTTAATTCTTATCAGAACCCTGGGATCCACTGTAATTGGCTACGCTGTAGTGGTCTCCCTGCCTAATGAATTTTGTTGTACTTAAGGTAAGTATTTTAGTTAGGCGATCGCGAAGTTAAATAAATAAAAAAACGTTTACATCCACAGGGGATTTGTGGAAATAAATGATAGTATGTGATAAGTTGGTAGAGAAATGAGACGCTCTTGAGGTCGGCACACACCATGTAGTGGGAACAGTTTGTAAGGGCAGTGCACACGATGCGACATGGAAACTGACAGAGGTCATTTTGTCTATGTTGATCATGACACAAGAACTAAAACTGACCAGCTAATTGCTTGCCACAAAACTTTTAAGGTAAAAACGGGCATGTCTCTCAACGAAAACGTTCACTGCAACGTGTAACCGATCTATGTCCCTGTAACATGTTACCTGATGCGTGCTGGAGTTAGATAAATTACGCTCTAAAATTTGAGTATTATGCTTCTGAGCGTCACTCCTAAAATCATAGCATTATGCTCGAAATTATGCTCATGGCCTAGCATTATGCTCAAAGATGCTGGGTCGGTGAATTTTGCGCAAAAAAAAAAAAGAAAAGACAAAATAATGGCTAGCATATTATTAAATGTCCTTCTTTTAAATAACAACTGAACAACGCCTTTCAAAAACGAAATGCTCTCATACGAAGCAACAAGAGCTGTATGTCAGGAGGCTCTTCAGTTTGGTTCATGACAAGTGAAAACTGCCTGGGGAGCCAGGCATAAAGTAAGGTAGCCAGGCCTTCAAACAGAAAACCAGGCATTCAACAAAGCCAAATAAGTGCATAAAGCAGCCACAAAGCCCACAATTGACATTTTTTTAAACACATCATTTTGATGTTTTTATTACCAGGATAATTTTATCAACTTTTAGGCTCCTAAACATGACTATTATGCCGACATTATGCTCGATGCTCGCACCATAGTATTATGCTCGAAATTATGCCGGCTAATTTATCTAACCCAAGTTCGCGCAGAACTTTCATCAATCAGTGACACGAGCCAGTGGGTCGTTATAGCACGAGTTGAATCTACTTTGGTACGCTAGGGCTTATAAGAGCCATGCTGGAAAAGCATACCTTTACTTCGACAAGTCCTCTGTATTCCAGAGTGTATCCCCCAAGAAATGTCAGCATATCTTTTGTATCCTTGCTGACATGAATTCTCTGGGCTGTAATCAAAAATCCACAATTTTAGAGGTTTATAAGAAAGTAAAAACGAAGCTACCTAGCTATCGGTTAATTCAAACAGTCAACCATTTTAAAAACTGATATTATAGCTTCACACAATCGGAAAAATGATATTGCAAAGTTTGTCCCAGGAAATGAAAACGGCTCAACATTTATTTCAGACGATTCCTTCAAAAGTAGGAAGATTTACAGCTTTGTGCTGTGCTTGAAGGTAAACATAAAGTTTTGACAGGGGCGCTTATGAGTTTTGCTTAAAATGTAATCACTTTCCGTTTAAAGAATTCATAAAGACAAATCTTGGACACAGAGGGTAAAGTCTTAAAAATTCAAAATGTAAATATCGAAGCTTCCATTTGACTGATGTATCACTATTTACGTGAGACAGACGCTAATAATTTACAGCAAACAACTTTATATAAGAGCACCGAACAATCAGCCAAATGTCACAGTACTCAAACTTACGCAAGCCCGTTGTTTGTATCCTAGAGGCGGTATTGACAGTGTCTCCAAATAAACAGTAACGAGGCATTTTGTTTCCCACAACTCCAGCCGCGCAGGGGCCTGGAACGGAAAACAATCATGGTGATCAATTCGGAAACCTTATACCACGTGCACGCCAGGGCTTAAAATGTTAAAAAGCTTTTTGATGAAAGCACATGTAAATTTTTATTTCTGATGACACGACAGGGAGGGGGAAATTATTTCCTTCTTCGTAAAAACGAGATTTAACCAGGATCCCATGACCCTGGTTTGACTACATTTATAAATTTTTCCTAAATAAGCGATTGAGTTAGTGAAATATTCATGCTCTATTCCAAGCTAATATTTCTCCTAATTTTCATACCTTATTGAAACAGCAATAGATTTAACTGCTGCTACATGCAATTTATACCGTGGATCAGAAAAGCCATTTTAAAACACTATTTCTTATAAGTGCGGAATTATTTGTCAAACTTTGCAATGGTCATTTGACTGTTTAGTTAAGTTTAGGTTACGACAAAGTCCGAAGAAGCCAACGGAGAGTAGAAGCGCCACGTGACCCGTATCTCTGGCGCAGGTAGCTACTTAGCCTTTCTCCCCTCAGGGAGTATATTGTTGAATTGTTATAACTCTTCGCTGGCACTCACGTGTGCTACTACGGGGTGCAGCAGGGGGGAGGGTTCTATAATAGTTAATTGTCTTATCCAAGGGCACAACAAGGGCAGCCCAAGCTAACGATAGGCCACTATACTCCTTGGATAGCCTTACCCACCTGTATGGATCCCGATTCTAACGCAAAGATCCCGTTCACCGTCGGAGCCAAAACGAAGGCTCTCCATGAGCTCCACTAAATGTAGCGCCATCAGAGCGATCTCCGTAACGTGACGGTGCCCATTTTTCTCTGGAAGGCCTGATACCACCATGTAAGCATCACCAATCGTCTCCACTTTGTAAACGTCGTATTTGTCGATGTGGTTGTCAAAGATACCGTAGAGACGGTTCAACATTTGTGTGACCTCCATGGGAGAAATGTTGGCACATATTTGCGTGAAGTCGACGATATCACTAAAGAAGACTGTCACGCTTTCAAACTGCTCTGCTGTCACGCTTTGGCCGCCCTTTAATTGCTCTGCTACCAGGTACGGCAGCATTTGGTAGAGAAGAGAGTCCGCCCTTTGCTTTTCTTCCATCAGCAGTTTCGTAGTTTGATGGAGTTTGGCCGCAGAGCGCTGGATGGCGTAGATGACGTATATAAAAAAGGCCATGAGTAATACAATAAAACCAAATATGGCGAGCTTTAGAACCCAGTCATTTTCGGTCGCGGTGACTTCATTATCCAATCTCTCTAGGATCAGCGCTCCGGTTTCTCGCTGGACTTGGAGTAGTGCATCTATGTAATCTGTCATAAGCTGGAACCATTCCCTACCTAATTCCACTGACGCGTTTTGTTTTTTGTTGCTCAAGATTATTTTCCTTTTTTGCTCCACTTCAACTAGTACCGAACCATTGTGTGCTTTCACAGCTCTTGTGTAAAAATCCTTAATTTCCGGCATTAACTCCATGCTAGCGTTTAGGTTTTCCTTGGCGAGCACGTTATTCTCCGCGAACCAAAGCAGATCGCCTGTTTCAAGGAATCTTCCTCGACTGAAAAACGAACCTCCCAGTGCACGTTCGACTCCTGTCTTCTCTTTTCCAATCAAGAGCATTTTGTAACCGATAAATTCTGACAAGACGTCATAGTTGATTTTCTGAACGTTTCGGAATAACCATTCAAACAGGTTTGAAATAATCTGCGAGTAAAATGTGATCTCATCTTGGATAGTACTGTTGACGACACTACAAAAATTACGGTGGTTATTGACCATCACCATGAACGTTTCCAGGCTGCTAAAGTTATATCGATCCTGGTCAGTTTCAGGCCAACTGTCAAGGTTTTTGGCGAACTCGTCTGTGTTATTACCCGCTTGTAACACCTTCTCCCACCCACCGTGTTCTCTGCCAGAACTCACGTACAAAACCCTCGTACCTCGTTCGATTTGTAACATGTGAACAAGACCAGCGATCTCGATGCTTAGTTTCACACTAGTTTGTAGTGTTTTTGTTTTAAAGGCGTTTTCGTTCGCTTCCAGTACGTCTAAAATTGTCAGAACTGTTAAACCAGTGAAGGCGACCAAGCACATGGCTGTCACCAGTATTAACCGAAGTCGCCTTCTTCCCCGAGCAATCGTTGTAGGTGTTGATGGCGGACCGGCGCTTGAATCTGTTGGGGTTACCCTATTTGTCATCATAGTAAAAGACATTTACAATCTGTCGGAGAAAAAAAGTCAGAATGGACATTAAACAGCCCAGTTAATACTGGCCGAAACATGTTTTACCAGACTCACTTGCTAGCAATCACAAAGCAAAAGACGCGATTACAAAAATCTGGCAGTACCTGAATACCAAAT